TAGGCCATTTTTAATTCTTCTTTTGACTCCTTTATTTTCAGTTCAGCTTCTTCAATTTCTGGATTCTAAAATTATTTTACATAGTAAGTTGAAGACTTATAAGACACAATGTAATATTAAGGACATATGACATTGTTCTAACTTTTAATTGTGGAGGAAGACCTGCCCTCCATGCATTCGTTCAGGTACAAGTCGGCATTTGAGTAGAAGCACTGACCTTTGGTTAGAGCTCAGCTGCTTACCTTTCTCACATGGAAGAAAGCAGAATCGAACCCACGATGAGGGGCAAATTGTTTGAAGTCAAACACCTTAAAGCAGCACGCCTCCAGATTTATGCTATTTTTTCATGAAAATTTTTGAAATATGTGAAAACGTATAATAATGTGTAGTGACCAAAAAGGAAGCAATTTACACCAAATTATTTTTGCACTTACAACTCACGTAAATTACTAAAAATGAGGTAAAAATGTGCAAAAAAAGCCCTTACTACGTTAGTAAAAGCAGTAGAAATATAGTCATAATATTAAAAAAAATCAGTCATTAATCACATATAACATGTCAATTATTACTTGAACCTTTAACATTTCTACAGTAATATTTTTTAAAATTGATATTATTGAAATATTTTGATTATCTGGAGGCATGTAGGTTTAATCACTCTTCCACTGAGTGTAAAGCTATAACCAGCAAAATATATTACAATTTTTTGAAAAACGGTCAAATTGTGTTGTTTATTTTTCTGCATATTCTTATGGTCATACCTTGAAAGTTTATTTTTGAATGATATTAAACACATGTGAGTTGTAATTATGAAAACAGAATGAAACTTCTCCTTACAAAAACTATCTCAATTCACAAATTTGAAAAACGTAAGAGATAATTTTGCATGCACTAAACCACTTAATTAGACATTTTGAAACACTCTTTCAATTTAGGTATTTTGGTATAGTTTTTATCAATATATAAACAAATATTCTACCAATTACAAACAGCCCAAGATAGTTTTATACCTCTTAATAACTATATCACATAGAAACATATCTGTTAACTATAATAATACATTAATAATACATCAGTGATACCTATTTGTTTATTTAGAGTTTCATAATTTTCTTGCTCCAGAAGGTTCATTCTATAAACTTGAGAAGATTTCTGTATAGCATGATCGCTCTGTGCCAATGTGGCCAACATACGCTGAACTGTCAAATGACTGAAATAAAAAAATCAGATCACTTATACCTGTATCACATTTATCACATAAACTACAATGCAGTATAATAAATAAAGCCTTTTAATAAAACTTTTGTTATACAAAAGTAAAAGCGTAAAATGGAGCTTATGTTAATGATACACTACAGGTACTTCAATGAACAAAGGATTCTATTTTCCTTATTTTGATTATGTAATAAACAGAATATTAATTAATATTTATGTGTGTTAATTATAAATTTTTTGAACTAATTGAGTCAAACAATATCATACTTCCCCTAGACTTGCATGATACAATAGACAAAGACCTCAGGTGCCTTTCGACAAGAACACTGACCCAAGCAGAACTTGCAACATATTTGTGGAAGTGCAATTTGGAATAAAAACAAAATTCAACTCTTTTCCCGATGTTATTTTCAAGTAACTGTATAAGGAACAGTCCACAAAATATATCTTTTTAAACAATACATGTGACTAGTACAAGATTTACGAAATGTCTTTGACTGGAAACTTAATCTTTGATCTACTGATCTTAAAATCAATAGGTGCCATGAGCAATGTTCCTACCAAGCTTCATAAATCATGACTTATACCTTATCAAGTTATTGGTTAGGCAAGGAAGAGACAGTGTTTATTTTCTTTATATAACTTTTACCCTAAATCGGTACTGTTCCCAATAGAAAATAGACATTAAAATTTCAAATTTCCAATGTTTAAATTCCCAAAATGGCTGTTCAAAATTTCCACAAGGCCAAGTGATTTCTCTGAAATCATTTAAATCCAACATATTCATATAAATCACCACTCAATAGTTCTACATGGACAGTTGAAGCTGTTAGCTGTCTTTATTTATGATGACTCATCTTATTTGTAGCTGAAAAAATGCATAAAAAAAAATTCCCAATTTAAAGTCAAAATAACGCATTTTGGTACCAGCACCATTCCCAAAGTAGAGAAAAAAAAACAGTGAGAGATGACATATTTGACAAACCAATCAAAACATATTTCCCCTTCTTAAGTGTATTCCCAGAGTATAAAATTTTGTACCTAAATTGATACTGATTTTGAACACAGTAGATATTAAAGTGTTACCTTTCATCACTAGAAGGTTCATCAGTACTATTACACCAGCGAATGAATGTTTTCAACAGACTTGTTAATCTCTTTTCATCATTGCCCGCATCACCATCTATAAGAAGACGTTTCTTTATAACCTCATCTGAAAATATAATTAAATAATATTGTTATCAATAAGACATGTTGCATAATATTACTAGTATTATCTTCTAATTCATCTGCAAAAAAAATTTAAAAGAGGGTGTAAATGTAAATCAAAAAGAGCCACAAGATAATTTTACCAGTAACCACCAATCAGATCACAAAACCACCTATGAAATATCAAAGTATATATATAGAAGATTATTTTCAGAAATTCTGTATACATTCAAATCTTAAACCTAAATTTCTTTTCTAAATTAAAAGGGAGAAAGCTGGAATAACTTGTCTCAGTTTGAAATCAACATGATGTTGATTTTGTGGTAAAAGAACACACATGACTCTGAAAAATATCCCCACCACCACAGATATGTACAAAACTCATCATTATAAACTGTTATGGACACAGATATTTATAAAGAAATCTCACTTTTTTCTGTAGAAAGGAAGTTTGCTGTATTATAAATTTGTTATAAATCTTTTTGACAGGTTATTTGACTGTATATAAATGTTTGTTTGCAAAATAACCCTTGCCAAACAGTTGAAGAAAAATTAACAATTTATAGAAAAACTAGAAATGTGTCATCATGCCCTGGATGCCCCCGCATGCAGCCAAAATTTCAAATTTTATAATATTTAGTTCCAAATTTGTTTGCACAAATTATTTTTTTCATTCTAAGTTCAAAGCCCTTAAAACTTTTCAATGTTAACACAAACCATTTTTATACAATGTTCAAGGCACTGAAATTATTCAGTCTTAACCTTTTGAAAATAGCATATTGCATATTTGTAGCCAAAATAATGGCTATATACATTTCCAAAAAAGTATGAGTGCTGAAACTGAAAGTTCAAAATTTTTCCAACATTCAGGAAAGATAAGTTTGTCCAAAATCATTGAACCACGACCAAATTCAAACTTAAACTGCTTATTCCTAAGATGTATCTATATTATTTTCAAAGTGAAAGGGACATAACTCTGCCAAAAAATCATCGAACCATGACCAAATTCCAACTTGACCTGTGCATTCCTTTGACATATCCATATGTCAATTTTGAGTTGAATATGTAACACTGTTGGGTTGACAATGAACAGAAACTGTAAATTTCATATCATTTTCAAAGTGAAAGGGGCATTACTCTGCCAAAAATCATTGAACCATGACCAAATTCGAACTTGGCCTGCGCATTCCAAAAACATATCCATATGTCAAAGTTGAGTTGAATGTGTAATACTGTTGGGGAGATAATAAATGGAAACTGAAAATTTCATATTATTTTTAAAGTGAAAGGGGCATAACTCTGCCAAAAATCATCGAACCATGACCAAATTTGAAATTGACCTGCGCATTCCTTTGACATATCCATATGTCAAATTTGAGTTGATTGTGTAATACTGTTGGGGAGATAATAAACAGAAACTGAAAATTTCATATTATTTTCAAAGTAAAAGGGGCATAACTCTGCCAAAAATCATTAAACCATGACCAAATTCAACCTTGACCTGTATTTTCTCATGACATATCCATATGTCAAATTTGAGTTGAATGTGTAATACTGTTGGGGAGATAATAAACAGAAACTGAAAATTTCATATTATTTTCAAAGTGAAAGGGGCATAACTCTGCCAAAAATCATCGAACCATGACCAAATTTGAACTTGACCTGCGCATTCCTTTGACGTATCCATATATCAAGTTTGAGTTGAATGTGTTGTACCATTGGGGAGTAAATGAACGGAAACTGAAAATTTCTTATTATTTTCAAAGTAAAAGGGGCATAACTCTGCCAAAAATCATTGAACCATGACCAAATTCAAACTTGACCTGTATTTTCTCATGACATATCCATATGTCAAGTTTGAGTTGAATGTGTTGTACCGTTGGGGAGATAATGAACGGAAACTGAAATATTCATATTATTTTCAAAGTAAAAGGGGCATAACTCTGCCAAAAATCATCGAACCATGACCAATTTTGAACTTGACCTGTATTTTCTTATGACATATCCATATGTCAAATTTGAGTTCAATATGTGCAATGGTTATTAAGATAATGAACGGAAACTGATGATGACGGAAGGACGGAATCACGGAATGACAGAACAGGGTAACACTATATGCCCCTGCCATTATATGGCGGGGGGCATAAAAAACATTTGTTTTAATTGTAGTATAGCTTACACTTTTAAACTTTTAATCTACATTATACATGTTACAATGAGAATGTGAGTCACTGTCTTGATTACAAATGCTCTTTAAAAGCAACCTGAAATCTAAATATACCTCAGATATAGAACCAGTCCATGAAGCAGGATCAACTTGGCCCTAAAACTAACTTGCCCCCCAGTCATCTCGGCCCTGTACCAACTCGGCAAGAGTCAACTTGGTCCATACTTATATATTACTTGTTACTACTTTTTATTTATTTTTATCATATTTTTCATTGTTTAATCTAATTTGATTAACAATATCTTCTGTCCTGTATTAAATCAAGTGCAAAAATCAAATAGTTTATACCGGAATTTAGAATTGTAAATAAATCAATAATCGATTGATCAAACATTTTATGATTCAATATACATATTCTACATATCATCCTGCATTTCCTGTTTTTTATCTTTAAAATCACCCAAGGACAACTGAAATAATCAATCTTGAATGTTTGAATGTGTTTTTCGCAAAGTGGTAAAAATTGAGTTATAGATCATTATATTAAGACAATGTTATCTCTTCTTATTGAACAAAGATAATTTCATAAAATCTATATCCTAGAAGGTTTTTAATACATGACAGAGTTGACCCTTGCTGAGTTGGTGTAGGGCCAAGTTGGCCCTTTGCCCAAGATGGCAGCATACTCAGTCATCGAATTTAGCACTTGCCCGGTGGCCTATGGCCAGTGAAAATTAGTTCCGGCCAGTCAAATTTTAAGAAAATTTAGTTAAATATTTAGTAGAATAAATTCAAAATTGGAATTCGGGCCAGTAAATTCAAAATCTTAAATTCAATGACTGCATACTGCTAACTAAGGATTTTTGTTCATATACTTTTAAAAGATTTTAATGTGATTTTTATTAAAATTATATACATGGCATACACGTTATTTAAGAGTGCTACAGCCTTTGTAGGGATTGAGGTCTTGCTTGTACTTTCTGCGTTCATGAAAATATAAATATAAACACTATCAATAGGAGCTATTTTTTTATTTATTGTGTTCAGGAGTTTGAGTTACTCAAATTAGTTACTAAAAAATTCTCAAATTTGGACTTTTCCCAGTTTTAACAGTGTTGGCGGTGTTGTAAGTATGTCAAAAAAGGCCTGTTCCATTTTGTTTATCTGACTTTTGGGCTACATTGGCCTTACTTGCTTTCATTACAATATGATTCACTTACGAACTTTCGCTATATGTATATATGCAGTATTTCGATAGAGCGGAAGTCAGCGCTTGAGCATGCGCTTTGTCATGTCTTGTTCAGTTACCGTTCACGTTTTCAACGTGGTTGCTACGAAAAGGTAGCACACCACAGTAATGTAAGCCACAGCTTCGAATGGCCAGGGAGGATATCTTGGATATAGTGAATATTCTGGATTTATATGACTGGTTGGCTTTAAAGTGAATTTTCAGCATGAAATTTGTTTTTGTGACATCTAATATGATCATAAATCACATGCTGTTGATTATAGATGTCAAGGCTGCCATTTTTTGTAAACATTGCTTTTAAACAGCATGCACGGTAAAAACCAGTCATTTTACAGGGGGGTACAAACTTTTAGCAGTAGCAAAAAAATCTACAAGGTTGAGCACCAGTTTCTTTGTGATAGTTTGCATGTATAGGGAGTTGCTAAAGCAGAGATGGTGTTCTTTTAGCCTGTATATTTGCAGGGATTTTTTGCCAGAGGGACGAAATGTGTTGTTTTGGGTCTCGGGCCACTGTAGATTTTGGGCTTCAACGGAATGAATTGCAACTTTTTTGACTGCCTGCCTATTGTAGATGGGATAATTTCTTTGTAGATTTGCAATCTTATGTCATATATGTTCTCAACAAAATGTGTTTTCTTTTTCCAGGTTGTGTAGTTTGGTATCAGAATTAATAGACATATTGCTTGCAGGACATTGATCAGATGGCAAGAACTTGAAATTAACTGTGGAGTGCTACCGAAGCATCATGTGTCCGACTGCTACTACACTTAGTGTACATGGCTTTTACAACTTATATATCAGTCAAACAAATTAAAGTGACATTATGCCCATCCAAGGGTATATGGTGAGTGAACATGTAAATATCAAAATAAGTTTTCATTATGCAATAATTCCTTTTAATTTAATAATTTACTTCCCATAAACAGTAAATGATGCACAGATCCAAATAAAATTTCTGTAAATATCTTTTAGAATTTACCTATAATGCTCAGTTAAGAAAAAGAGTGGGGCAGTCTTTTTATATTTTATGCAGATTTATAATTTTATTCTGAACATTTTCCAATAACAACTGTTGGTCATACACCATTTTAACAGTCAATCTTTTGAAATATAAAGTCAATTTAGCTCAACTTGACTATGAAAATATGAGCATAATGTCACAACACACATAAACTACACCATATTAATATTTTGCATTTTCAGCTGATAGTCAAACAAATATCTCAATATTCTTTCCCATTTAATATATTGTTTACATGTGGTGACAGCTACATGTAGTTAGTTAGCAGGGGAACGCTGTGTTAGATTACTTCGGTCCAGAAAATTTCCTTGTTTACCATCAAAACTCATATGTTTACCATAGCAACCATATATAGATAGAAAATAAATCATACTGAGATTAGAAAGCATTTCTTTTCTCTACGGGTTATCTCGGACTGGAACAATTTACCAGAAGTGGTTGTGAATGCTCCTTCACTTAATAGCTTTAAAAACAGGTTGGACAAATTCATGGGAGAAACACAGTATACCACCATACCGGATCAGAACTGGGTACAAAACCATGGGGGGGTTATAGAAGACGATGAGGACGTCTTGCGACCTCAACTCCAGTAAAAGTATATAAGGTTATTGAAAAAAATCTCAGTTTCTTGACAAAAAATCGAATTAATAAGTACAAAGTCTTAGAAAAGATCCCTTCTTAAGTTAATTTAAAAGGGGAATAATTTGGCGGAGTTTTAGACAGGGAAACATGAGTTATCATTCGTGGCTAGGGAATATGGCCGACTGAAATCATGCAAGCGAGTTTGTAAGTGTGGATTGATGTAGATACTTTTCTTTTACAATAAATAATTAATTCGCGAAAACATATGATACACATCTATTTAGCTCATTATAAAAAATTCAAAAGGATTAAAATACCAAAATATGTTCTGGTAGCATAAATTTATGGATGTGATAGCAATTATGTACTTAATTAAGCGTTATTTCACATAATAAACAAGAAAGCCGGTATTTTACCGTCTGTAACTGATGCCATTTTTATTGCAGCTTCAACAACTAAACAACAATAATATTCTATTTTTATTCTTCTAACTTCGTATATATATCAATGGTATGTGTCGTTTGTTCTTCTTATATGCATTTGGAAACATTTATTGTATATAAGATTTAGTATAAATGCGTTAATTCAATTATATTTCGTTAGTGTTGTAAGCGATGTTCTTAATCGGAATTTCACGAGTGTGACGTCACGTTCGGTTATTCCCGAAATTAGAAATAGAAAAGGAAAATGGCGACCCTGGACGATAGTCCGTCGCTGTTTTCGGGTCAACAATGGACAGATTGGGCTGATTCTGTTTTACTAGATAATGAAATTGGTAAAAAACCAAAGTCTAGGCCTTGTTTTTCATAGATATGTCCTTTTTATAATGCTATTTTCTTCTGAAACTTTGATTGGGCCATGTTTGTATCACTGGGAAACCAGTTCATGAGATTTTTTTCAGTTGCTCCCTGGGTCACATTTGTTTTGTCATCTATTTCAGAATCTACTGAATGTGATACTGCTGACGAGAGCACAGATACAGATAGCATGAAGTTGAAGATTGAAGGTATCCTCTGTCAATCATGTTGACTTAAAGATATCAAAAATATAAGAGACCTGTAAAATAAGTCAAAACCCTTTAAAAAAAATTTTTTCAGAAGTTTGCTAAGAGGAAAATTGTATATGTAATCAATTGACAGTTGCAGAATTTTATCTCACTTTATTTAAATGATGTTTGTTAGTAATCCTCAATGTTAACAATACAAATGAAGGGTAGAGCGAATGGAGGAAGGAATATATGGTGTTTTAAAATTTGAATTTTGTGAGCATATAGGACTAACCATTCACTGTGCTTTTATAATTATTGAATGAAAATGATGTCTCATATTTTCATTATTATTATCATATTCTATGATTAATTACGTCATGTTTTACATATAGATTTTGTTTACATACTTTGTTACCCATATATATGTTTAACAAAGATTGAAAGGAAGTACACTTTATTTTTAACATTGAATGTCAGTTAAATGAATATGATTTTGTAATAATATTTATTCATGTTATTTTGACATCACTCTTTTATGTTTTAGACATGCCATTGTTTGGACTGTGCCCTTCCAGAGATGAATTTTATTTGGTTGTCTGTGACAAATGCCATCAAGTTTTGAAACCACAAGCATTTCAAGGACATCTTGGTAAAATTAAAGTTTTACTTTATTTATACAGTAATCAAGACATTAATGCTGTTTATTGTCCTAGGAACCACATTTTAGAGTTGGATGTGTAGGGATGTTGACACTAATGGTAAAGCATCCCAACATCCGAATTACAAAATGTTGTACTATATACAGTAAACAGCATATATGAATTACACAAATTAATTAAAACAATATTCATATAAACAATATTTATGATCACAACCTCTGAAATTCGGTTCTTTTGTTGTTCATTTATATATGTAGCATTGTCTTCGTCATGTTTGTATTTGTAAGCAGGATTCTCATGATGAACCCAGGACTGTGTTTCAAGTATTTGATGTGTTTGCCTCTCATTGCAAACTTACATGCTTGGTAAATCGGTTAATTGTTTATAATGCAAATCATGCTGTCAAATTAATTTATGATGGTGCATCAACTTTTGTTCTGGTAAAGTATAAAGCATATATTTCTTTGATAAAAGTATGCAAACTTTATTATATTTTTTGTTCCAAAGTCATGCTCTGTTTACACATGAAATAATAATCAGATATAAACACTTCTCACAATAAAAAGAAATTCATTCTATGCAGGAAGATCTAGGTACAAAGTTAACACAACTCTGCTTTATTTGACAATAGATGGTCAAGATCAGTTTGTGCGGAGGAAGATGCTTTCTGTTATTAAGACAACAAGAATTGTTGCTCTCAACCATCATATGTTTATCTAATAATTAGCATATGAAATAAATACATGATGCATCAGTCTCAGTATCACAGGTTGCATTATAAATATTGTGTGACGTTCACAGTCCTGTTGGGCCTCCATGGCCAACTGGATAAAGTTACTTAATCTGACGCTGGAAAACCACCAGTGTTTTCAAATTCTTTCATGTCAGGTGCAAGTTTGTTTCTCCAAAGCTACTGACAGGAATGGGTTGAACTTTCACTCAATTGAGAGTATATATGAAGATCACTGTCAAAGGCCCATAACTCAAACCTGGAATTTGACATATGAATTATGGCCCTTTTTGAACTTTTGAAAATTATGCATTATCCAGGCTTCTGTTATAATATCATGAGCAGGAGCATGCTGTCCATGGACGGGTCTTGTGTTGACCTTCTAATAGTAGTTTGCTCCTCGTAAATAACTGGTCCTTTTAAAAACTGCTTTAGATAAAAACAGAAAAACATAACATTTTCACACAAATCAATGGATGGATCATTACCAAACTTGATGTGTAGTAACCTTTTAAAGTAGTCAGTAAAAAAAAAAAGGGAAAATATTTCAGAACTAGTTTTTGGGTCACTTTAAAAGAAATCACTAAACAGGATTTGTAATCTTGGGCGAATCCTCTGGTGAAGCGAGATTTCTCTGTGACAATTGTTCTCGGAAATAAAGTCTAATGATCATAAAAACAAAACAATTTTTTCATTACATGTGACATCAATATTGATTAGTCATAAAAGAATGCAATAGGGATAGAATTCACATATTTGTAAATCTGAGCAACCTAAAATCAAAATCTATTGCAAGAGCATCATAAAGTCTAAATCTATTGAAAGAGGAACATAAAGTCTAAATCTATTGAAAGAGCAACATAAAGTCTAAATCTATTGAAAGAGCAACATAAAGCCTAGATCTATTGAAAGAGCAACATAAAGCCTAGATCTATTGAAAGAGCAACATAAAGCCTAGATCTATTGAAAAGGCAACATTAAGGTAGTACACCCCTAATGCACTGTCTCCACTTTGAAGAGTATTCAAATAGGCTAAAATCACTGTAAAGTGTATTGAAACTGAGGGGGCATGGGTTCAAACCCCAGAAGGGGCAATTTTTTTTCTTTCTTTTTTTTGTTTTTAACATTTTTTATTAATCTCTCAGACCACCTATGGAAGAAGAAAGTGTTTTATTTTAATTATATAATTATTGTAGGTATTTATTTACTAAATAATGCCAAATTTAATAGCAAATATGATACCAGATATTTTCAAAGTTTAATAAAATAAAAACTAAACGGTAAAAGTATTTTATATTTTGCAAGACCAACCACTATACATTAAAGAAAATTTAGGCAAACTTTGAAAATAGCCCCTCATTTTGAAAAATTTTAGGGATATTTTAAATAAGGCTTTTTACAAAGGGAAATGGTCAAATTAGTGTTAAAAGTGGGTGGGGTATGGTTACATTTTTATACATATTAAAAACATTTCGTTTAAAAACAATCATTTTGCTTGTTTAATTTGTTACCTAAATGTCATTATTTATTTCTTAACAATGAGCAAAAAGTAAACATTTTTCATAATGATGATATTATAGATTATTTAGAGTTTCCTCATTTCTGAAAAAATCCCTTCTAATGGCAAAGTTTTAGTTCATAAAAATGTCCATAACTCATAAACCACACGGTAAATTTTGTTTAAATTTTGCATACAGGTGACATTTAAGGCAAATAACTGTCCTATGTTGTCAAATTTACAATTCCTTTTAGTGCCCATTAGGGGTGTACTACCTTAAGTCAAAATCTATTGAAAGAGCAACATAAAATCTAAATCTATTAAATGAGCAACATAAAGCCTATATCTATTGAAAGAGCAACATAAAGCCTAGATCTATTGAAAAGGCAACATTAAGTCAAAATCTATTGAAAGAGCAACATAAAATCTAAATCTATTAAATGAGCAACATAAAGTCTTGATCTTTTGAAAGAGCAACATAAAGTCTAAATCTATTGAAAGAGCAACATACAGTCTAAATCTGTTGAAAGAGCAACATAAAGTCTTGATCTACTGAAAGAGCAACATAAAGTCTTGATCTGTTGAAAGAGCACATAAAGTCTAAATCTATTGAAAGAGCAACATAAAGTCTAAATCTATTAAAAGAGCAACATAAAGTCTAATTTATTGAAAAGGCAACATTAAGTCAAAATCTATTGAAAGAGCAACATAAAATCTAAATCTATTAAAAGAGCAACATAAAGTCTAAATCTATTGAAAAAGCAACATTAAGTCAAAATCTATTGAAAGACAACATAAAATCTAAATCTGTTAAAAGAGCAACATAAAGTCTAAATCTATTGAAAAGGCAATATTAAGTCAAAATCTATTGAAAGAGCAATATAAAATCTAAATCTATTAAAACAGCAACATAAAGTCTAAATTTATTGAAAGAGCAATGTTAAGTCTAAATCTTTTCAAGGAGCAACATAAAGTTTAAATCTGTTCTAAGAGCAACATAGTGTTTAAATGTATTGAAAGAGCAACATAACGTCAAAATCTTTTTAAAGAGCAACTTAAAGTCTAAATCTATTGAAAGAGCAATTTAAAGTTAAATTTTTCAAATTTTCTTACAATTACAATGCTGAAAATTCACAATTCAAAAGGTTATTTGAAAAAAAAAGTAGTAAATAAATTCACTGGGCTTTTTATATCAAACACTGAAGTAAAAGAAATTAAAATGAAAATTACGTCTGAATTAAATTTACAACAACTCTCCTTATGCTAGAGATAGTAATCTCTTGTTTAAAGCATACCACAATTTATACATATTAACTAAAATAGATTTGCCAGTTGAGATAAATTTTCGTAATATAACTCCTGCTAAGAGGCAAACGAATGATGTGTCTAAGATTCTTAGTAAATATTATGGAATCAAAAGGTAAAGGTTAAAGATGCTGTATCTTAAATTAGTTTTAAAGATTTAATCATTAGCAATGGCTTTAAAAGTTATTTTTGGTCGCTTTTGTTAGTGCTATACCAGAATTACAAATACAGTGGACTCTCATTATCTTGAAGTCATCGGGACAGTCAAAAAAATATCGAGATAACAAAATGTTGAGTAAAGCGATGTTGAGATACCGGTAACGATAGTTGACTGTAGGTCGTGATCAGATTTCAATGAGAATCACTGATTCTTTTGAAATAAACTTTGTGTGTTATTTTTTAACATTTCTTGTTTCTTTTGGTCTTTATGTAAAAAAACAATCAGTATGGTGGTAATAATGTTTAGGAGTTATTATTTAATTGAAAACATACTGAATAACAGCAGTTCCACAAATTTTATCACTTGATAAAGGTGATTGTTTTTTCCTCTTAAAATGATGAATGGTTATGTCCAGATTTAGAGATGGACAAGGCCATTTTAGATGTTATGGGTGGTACGAATTTAAGCTTATGATATTTTTTCTCTATATTTTCAGAAGTACGTCATGATGGTAAAGGGGGATATACAACAACATCTTCAAAGATTCATCAGTCATCAAGTCGACATTCTGTCTCATCAAAATCTCATTCAAAATCTCACTCAACCTCAAAATCTCACCGTTCATCGCACTCTAAATCGCACAGTTCACCGAGCAAAAATTCACATCGTTCTCATGCTCATTCGCGATTAAAACCTCATGTAGAATTAGAACACTCAGGGCCAGAAATTCACGCAGATGTGGCCAGTAGAGTTGAAGACACTAAGTCTGTAAAGTCAGCAAAGGCCAGTGTCAAAGAGCCCCCACTGTCGTTTGAAACTGTCACGAAGGTGGGGGCTGAAGCAGAGACTGAATTAGTTACTGACAGTAAACTTCAAAATACAAATAACATGCCTGTTGTGAAAATGGAACGTATTCCAGAAACAGTAGCCATGAAAAAACAGATGGACTCAACAGGTAGTGCAAGGACTTCTCCATTGACTAACGGAGCCATTCGTGGCTCAAAGTCTCCTCCGTTGTCAATGCCTGTTATTACCGATACCGAAGAAGATATTAAACCGTCCCTTACATCAATGCCAGTGTTAAATGCCACTGATTCAGACGATTTATTGTATCTGGAAGACATGGATACAGTTCCAGTGTCGGAGATTAATAGTGCGGTCAGCTCCATATTGGAGCCAGTGTCACCTGCTTCGGAGTCAGATACGGATAGGTTTATTGCTTTAGCAACATCTTCGAGTACCATAACAACAAATACGGTGACAATGGCCTCAATAACAACTTCAACGACTTCTGTTACTAATGTGATAAATACAAACTCCAGTTTCACTTTTGGAAGCATGGGACGGCCATCTCTTCCAATGGGTAGTATTCGCGTAAACTTTTCAACCAGTGGTGTTCTTAGTACTATAACCGGTGATGGTAATAATAATAATAATTCAAGTAGTGTTAATAAATCTGCAGTTACAACTAGTGAGTCGGCACGAACTAATATCTGCAGTAACGGAAGTATGGAAAGCACAATAAGTGATATTGTGAAATCGGCTGTACATTCAGGGAATACTGGTGGCTTTAAAAGTCTAACGCCATTAATAGCTAGTCCTAGAAAGACAAATGGGCTTGGCAATATAAATAGTTCTTTCAAGTCTCCCCAGAAACTTGGAAATGTTGGAAAATCTTCTAGCAGCTCAAATTTATCAAAGACCGGATCAAAACTTAGCCCTGGCTCGTCAAATTTGATCAAGTCGTCTAGCTTGGGAAGTGTAACGGGTGGATCAGAATCAGGGTCCAGTTCAAACAACTCCTCCGTGGCAAACGCTGAAGCTATTAAAAAGTTTCAGCTACTCAATAAACCAGATAAAATCATACCACTTAAAGGTAAGTTTGGTGGGGGTTTATTTTGCCTCACTTTGTTATAGATAAACATACAAATGTACACCCTCCAAAAATACCAACACCAGCTGTGATGAAGGAAAAAAAGTAATTTGTGAAGTTGGTCACAAGTAAATTTTTTTTCTTTGTTGAAAATAAAGTGGCTGTTTCTTAAAATTATCTGAACCTTTGAAATAAATGTATTTTTGGGCTTGTGTAGCAAGAAGAGATTTTAAGCTGGGAAAGTCCATTTTACAGATTATGAAGTGTAAGGTTTATATTTTCCATACATCCATATTGGAGATGAATAAAAAAAGATGGGAAAATGAATTAAGGGATGCATTTTCTGATTTAAGTAGAAGTTATTTATTTCGTAAAGTAAACTTAGTGATTTCATAAGAATACCAACAAGTTTTACCCATTAAACAGATTTTTAAGATAATGACACATTGTTGCTTAGTAACAACATTGCATATTTTTATATACATATTCACAATATTGAAAAATTTGTTATTTTTTACAGATCGTGAATATGATCCCAATAAACATTGTGGAGTGGTAGTGGCTGATACAGGGAAACCATGTACAAGGTCTCTCACTTGTAAGGTAAGACTTTGTGTTGTCAAATATTTAAAAATAAGAAAATTGGACATATGAAAACCGTCCTTTTGTGTTTAGTTGATGTTACCTTTTGAGTTTATCAAGGGACGCATTTGATTCTTGCATGTGTGCAAGCCATCCATCTAGCTTACGGGAAGGTCTGTGGTTTTTATTTTGTGGCTGTAGGTGCTCACACCTAAAATTATGTAGCAAAGGGCATCTTAGGTCTTCATCCGTGATTGAAGCTAGAAAGTTGCTAGATGATCTCGTCCTCAAAAGTGACAAAAATAACAACCAATCAAAAGGAATTAGTTTGCTGTCAAGAATGCAAGTACAAAAGTTTAATTCCTTGGTTGGTGCATATTTATCCATGGCATTTTCAATGAATATGTTATGGGGCGTCGTGGCCGAGTGGTTAAGGTCGTTGACTTCAAACCACTTGCCCCTCACCGCTGTGGGTACGAATCCCGACAGGGACTTAAGATTCTTTCATGTGAGGAAGCTATCCAGCTCGCTTACGGAACGTCGGTGGTTCTAGCCTGTTCGTGCCTGAAAAAATGCACAGAAGGGCACCTGAGGTCTTCTTCTACCAGCAGTAAAGCTGGAATGTCGCGATATGACATATACTATGTCGATGTGACGTAAAACCAAAAAAAAAAATTGAATATGTTATATGATTGCTGATTCTAGTTGTGCAACTGTTAAATTTTTAATACAAATGCTGATTGAGAATTTAAGAACATGGGTAAGCTCTTGTATTGTTGTTTGATTGGATAATAGTGACGTTTATATAGTTTAATATACAGGGCTGCTGTCAATTTATGAAGAAATCTCACTTTTTTCTTAAAAAAAGTATGTTTGCTGCATTATTAATTCGTAATAAATATTTCTGACAGGTAATATGGTCATATATTAATGGTTGTTTGCAATACAACAAAAGCTGCTTCCAAACAATTGTTTATATAGGGCCATAAAACTTGTCAAAAAGTCTTTATAACTAGTAGTGTATAGGTACAGGGCTGAAATAATGCCTCACTGTCCAATGTCATTCATATGAAAAGGAAAAAGAAAGGTAAATTTATTTGACTCCGGTGATATGAAAATATTGTCTAAATGTTAACAATATGATACTTTACCAATTTTTATTTTTTTTTTTGCGAGAAAAAAAATAGTTCCTGTGCTACTAGTAAATAAAAAGAAAGTTTTTCATTGTATGTAGAACAATAATAAAACCATAAAAACACAATCTTCATATTACAGTGTCCATGCATTTATTCTAAGAAACATTACAGCTTATAAATTCATTTCAGCAAACTATATTTACAAATTTGTGAACACTTAAAACAGTTTTCTTAAACAACTTTTCCATTTATAAATTTGGGTTAGTCTATCATCTGTCTGTTGCATACCAAATTGTTGGATGTCTGAGACTATGTAACTTTAGCTAACTTGACATAGATGAATTGCTGTAGACATGAACCCTCTCATGTCTGAAATTAAACATTGAGTGATTGTCATTGAGAGTCTGAATGTCTGAAGTAAGTTATTGAGTGAATGTCTGAAATTAGACATTTAATGTCTTAAATTAACATTGTCTGAATGTCTGAAATTAGACATTGAGTGAATGTATGAAATTAGACAGTGAATGTCAGAATTAGACATTGAGTGAATGTCTGAAATTAGACAGTGATCATCTGTATGTCTGAAATAAGACATAGAGTGAATCTCTGAAATCAGACAGTGAGTGTCTGAAATTAAACATTGAGTGACTCAATGTCTGAAATTGAACATTGAGTGTTTGAAATTAGACATTGAGTGAATGTCTTAAATTAGACATTGAATATATGATTATAGTCATAGAGTGTCTGAATGTTTGAAATCAGACATTGAGTCAATTTTGAGTGTCTATAAAATATGTCATGGAAAGACACTTGAGGCATCTTGGGTACATCTTTATCGAAGAATGTTGAGAAAAATTACACAAATTGGCTTGATATTTGTCAGGTTTATTAAAAAACCAAGCAAAAAAAAAACAGTAGGAAAACTGGTTTTCAGATTTTAATGATGGTATCATATGATAAAACTTCAGATTACCAGATCATTTGCTTGAACAAGAGTTGGAATTACAAAAGTTCCTTCTTTAATAATTTGTCTAATAAATTGTCTAAAAAACAGTTTTTGACATGTTTTATTAAGTATATGACTAAGACCTTAACAATGTATGGAAAGATTTGACAGCATAAACCAGACGCTATAAATCGTTCTTATATAATGTGTCTGCATAATGTTCAGCAACAAATTTCTTCAAGTCCATTAGCCTTGAACTGTACAGCCAATTTAATGGAATTTATTTGAATTAATGGGCTAATTATACACAGATGTTATAAATTATTTAGATATTTTCCATGCAACTGTATCCATTATTTATTGAAATGTATTTGTCAATATTTCTTCCTTAATGGTAAGATCGTCATTTGTTTCACCACCACAGCAGTCTTTATGATTTAATGTTTAAAGGCCGTGATAGCAAATTGTAATAAAGTTTCATTGGGAGCAAAAAAGATTTAAACATTATAAATCCATTACTGAAATGTTTCATTTTACTAAAAAAAAGTTTTTACACTATCCATTGCACCCACAACAATGCCATTTTAAAAGTATCCTTTGAAAGTTTGTTAAAAGGTTTATATTTTGCTGTAAGATGTCATGATAGTTAAGAAACTTGGGAAGCCCTGTTATAATGTTATTTACTATAAAGTTAAATTGTGATTAATAATAATTTATATAATTTATTTGAGTATTAATTAACATTTATTTATGAAATGTGAAGCAAGACATTTGAATCTTGATATAAAGCAGGAGTTAAATTTTGTTATTCAGCAGAAATTAAATTTTGATATAAAGTAGGAGTAATATATCTTGGAATTAAACATAAATTTAATTTTGGATATGGAGAAATTAAGCTTTCGTTTTACAATTCAGAAATTTAATTTTGGTATTAAGCAGAAATTAAATTTTGATATAAAGCAGGAGTTAACTCTTGGTATGAAGCAGGAATAACAATCTACAATGTCTATTTTAAAGACTATGTTTGGGTCATATTCACAGTGGGATAAAATAACTTTTTCTCAACTTTTCCGTCTATTTCTTCTTAATCAAAATTTTCAAATGAAATTTGTTCATGAATACTGGGTAATAAAAGTAAAATAACAACATAATTATGTTTAAATAAGACATAAATGCTCAAGATTATGTAGATTAGAATGTAAAGAATTGTTGTCTTAAATTTTTCCCATTTTGAGTTACACATTCGAAACATTTAGGATCTCAAGAATACAAGTTATGTTTCCTAAATACTGGGGGAAAAAATCTAAAGTGTTTAGAAACTTAAGAGATCAACTTGCAGGGCTTCTGCTAATACAAGTTTGTTGATTTTGGTTTGTGACTTCCAAAATATAATGCTTTTCCTTCTATACCTATATAATGTGACTTCCAATGTCAGACATTCAACATAATGGAAGCCCAGGATCAAGATCTTTAAATCAATATTGGAAGTTAATCTTGATTTAAACATAAAATCTAGTCTTTGAACAGTAGAAGTACGGAACTTTTTTAAATCAGGGATTGGGATTATGGAATTTATGGAATCACTGCATATTATATGAGAAATTACATTATATATTTGTTGTGACTTTCCTGGGTTTGTATTTTTTCCTAAAACATGGGTTTTGTTTTGTCTCTAGTCTACAGAGTAGTGACAACATAGGGATCACTTCTCAGCCGTCTTGTCTGTCACAAAAATTGTATTCTCAACACTGTGTGTTACACATGATGTTATACAAGTATGATGTATGCCATCATTATTTCTACATTTTTCAAAATTGTGACGTTAGAAAGTAAAAGTTAAATGGTTAATTTGTCATCTGTTGGAGATTGTTGATGAGTAACAACAGGTTTCCTGAAAACACCACTCCTGGTTAGTTCTAGGAAGGAAGGAAGAAAATTAGATTTATGTATAAACAGAAGTGTTTGTGGTTTGTTTTTGTTTGTATTTGTTTTTCCAGGTACTTGCTCTAAGGAATTATTTGTGAGTGAGTTATATTTATATAGTGTGCAAGCAATGTATTGACGGAAAAGTTTACATTCATTTATAATATACGTAAATTTTATGTTTCAGTCACATGCGTTATCATTGCGAAGAGCCGTCAATGGGAGACGACTCTCTTTTGATGATTTACTAAAAGAGCACAGGGAGGCGAAAGAGGCGTATCAGAAGGCTAAGGTAGAAAGCAAGGAAGCCACAGCAAAACTCAAAGCTGCTCAGGCAGCCAGCAAGGGGCATGGAACTCATATTCTCACACCTCATGGCAAACTCCATAATCTCAGCACAGTTACCTCCCCTGTTCTTAAAACGGCTGGTCAAGCTAATCAGTGTTTGAACAAGGAGAATAAATCACTGTCGAACCCAGTATTTCCCGCGTCAAAACCACCAGTACTATCAAGGGCAGCTTCAATATCATCTCACAGGTATAGTAGATATTTGAACGATCATTTAAAATGAGATATAACTGATATGTTTTCTTATTTATAAACTATATGAAATACTGTATAAGTGGTTAACTTAGCAATACGGATATATTGGCGAAATTTGCAAATTGGCGAAAATCGTTTAAATTTCCTCTAGCCTAAATATCAACCAAGCTGTCACTAAATTCTACCCTTGCACGATTTGATTATATTTCCTCACACGAAATGTCTTGAACTTTAAATTTGCAAACTTTTCGACACGCAGAAATATCCACTTCTACAGTATAATGAGTATATCATGCTTAACATATCTGAACAAAATTATTTTTGTGCAACAGCATTTGATGTTGTAGCAGCTAGTGTGTAATTTGAATTTCCATTTTAGTTAATTTGTAGCAAATAAATTTGTTTTATTTGTGTCCTCTGACTTCTTAACCCTTCTGAATATATGTTACATATATTTACTTGCCCAGCTTTGATTTTGGAACAATCATTCAATATGTTACAATAGTTTGTTGTAATTTAGCTACTTAAAGTATAGACTAAAAGGTCAGTCAACTAAGAGTGCTAGTTCTAGTAGATGGCATTGTTCTTCAGGCTTCACTTAACAGAATATGTTGCCTTTATTATTATGAAATTCAATCAGAAAGTTAAGTACATTGCATAAAACTGTAAATACTGGAAAGGGTCATTTGTATAATGATGTCATACATTTACATGATGTCATTAAAATCTTTATTTATGATGTGTACATCTTTTGTTTTATATCTTTTAATATATAGGATTAAATAAACATTATTGTTTATATACAATTTCAGGCTTAGTTTAAGCAGTATTGGTTCACCATCATCAAACGATGAACTTCAGTCACCTACAGGAAAATCAGGGGATAAACTTCCTGGTGAAGATTCTGATGACAACTCATTTACCTCATACCATCCCAGGCCTATAGCAGTAAGTTATTCTAATGTTCCATTCTTATACTCGCACTGTCCATAGCTTTGCAGGGATTCAGATTGGATCAGCCCTTCGGCCCTGGGCATATACATGTACAAGTCTCAGATGATCAGAACAAATAAACTCATTACGCCCATCTGGCTGAAAAAATATCTTTCATCAGACAATATGAATATGATTTAGGAACTTTAATCGTCGAAAGATTAATAATTTGTTGAATAATTTAATCTCAAACATGATTATCTGGATAATTTACATAACCTTATGTGTATGATAGATGTATTTTCATGACCTTGTGATGAATGAATTTTAATGGCCTTATGATAGATGTATATCCGTATTTCCATGAACTTCTTCTGATAGATTTATTTCTATGAACTTATAATGTGTATATTTCCATGAATTAATGATGATTGCATTTCCATGAAAAGATATTTCTATGAATGTATGATTCATATATTTTCATGAATTTATGATAGACATATTTCCATGAATTTGTGATGATTATTTTTCTCTATTAACTTTTAATGTATGTATTTCTGCGACCTTATGATGAAGTTTCAGTTATTTATGACTGATGTTTTGCAATGAATATATTATGGAAGTGTTTCCATGAACTTTTGAGTATTTGAATCTTTGAGCACAGTAACAAATCCCAGTATGTTAAAGAGTTAATTTTCACTTTAGCACTTGCAAAAGTAATTAGTTAGCAATGACAATGTGTATAAGCTAAAAGCACTTGTAAATTTTGTGAGGATACAAACAAATAATTTTAATAGTTTCAATATTTACTATTTCATAAGTTATGGAATGTTTTATAACCGTTTCAGGCATGTTCATTTGGTGCTAGATACCATAATAATTACGGCAGTGGGTTTGGGTGTTATACTTTTGGTCGCAGGACAGACCATTTACGGGCAGCATTCCTAGATCTGCTGGAAAAACATTCGAATCCTCCACCACCAAAGTAAGATTATACTATTACTCTATGTATATATATTACTTTGCTTGTTTCTAAACCAGGTTGAAAATGAATCACACAGTTGGTTTAAACATATTTATTTAAGATCAGTTGCATCTTATATTAATGACTTTCGAGCCTGCTTTCTGAAACCAACCATGATTGGTGTCATATGAAGAAACATGGTTTTGACCATGATCCACGGGTTGAGAGGCAGACATCTTAACCAAAACTAGGCCATCGCTCCCCTTAATTCACGCAGTTGATTTGAGGTAATAATGATACACTACAGGTTTGATGTCCATTATTTATTTAAAGAGCACACAGTATTGAATATTTAGCAACTTTTAACTTTGAGCACTTGCAAAGAAATTGATAATTACTGGTTAGTTATCCAGAAGTGCAGGTTAGGCTGATTGATTGCCAAAATCTGATAAAAATTGGTGTAAAAAGCCAGATAAACATATCGCCAGTTATTGATAAAAACTGTATAAAGAAACAGAAAAACAAGATTTGTAATTAGTATATGATTTGCCATAAACTTTCGATAAAAATATTTTTATGTCTTGATATGAAAGGATGAAATTTTCTTTTCAGAAAACTTTGTGTTGAAGCAAACTTGCCTAGAGAACAAGACAACTTACAAACGAACACTGATCCCTATGAGTTTAGTTTTCATGACCCGAGTAGAAATCATATCAGTCAGCAGATATTGCAGGGACCTGGAGGACTTATTACGTCTGCTGTCCCAAATAAGGTTGTATCAAAGCAGAAGACAAAACCTGTTACTTTGAGCACAAGTATAGGAGCAATATCTGGAAGTAAACCGAAGTTAAAAGACAGTTTCTTGTTGTCAAAAGCTCCAAGTATTAGTGGCAGTTTGACACCAGGACTTCTCACGAGTTCTTCGGCAAAGAAACGGAGAAGTAGCGGAAGTGCTGGGTCACATAGTGTTATTAATCAGTCAAGTTTAGGACACACTCTAGTCTCCGCCTCGGCCCCAAATAGTATTTTTGCAAGCGTAGGGTCGTTAAATAATGCAACCGGAGGGGCACAGCAACAGCAGTTTGCTATTGCTTTACCGAGCGGTGTCAATATTAGTCAATTAGTGGCCAGTGGGAATTTGAAACCTGGAAATAAAAACAATGTGATAAAAGATACGATGGGGTTTGTTGTGACGGGTATTCCCCAAGAAGCTTTACTCAATGGACAGATAGTGAATATCACAAACTCTCAATTGTCCAGTGATTTAAATACAAACCAAATTCAGACTGTGTCTCAGGAAGAAAGTAATAAACCAATACAGCAAATAAATGTGATAACCAGTAAACATGTACAGCCCAAGTTTATAAATAGCAGCATGGATTTACGTGCTCTGCAGACAGGGAAAGGTAACTTGATAACAGGGCTGCCCCCCAATGCAGTACTCCTTGACAGCAACTTACAGCCTGGTGCCGTGTTGCAGCCATTGACGCTGACGACATCGTCCGGTAATCCGGTAATGTCGGTAAACAGTGCTGTGCTGAATCAACAGCATCAGAATCATAGTGCTGCTTCTAGTCAATTTATAAGATCTGTAAGTACGCAATCTGTCATTACATAACACGTTGTTCGTCTGAAGTAATGGTACACATATATTGTAATTAAATAATATTTTACAATTCTTTTTTGATATGTCTATTTGAATAACAAAAGATGTTTCACTTTCTCATTAGTATGATTAGATACAGAACAGATTCTAGTATAATTGAAAGCAAGTTACATATCAAAAGTTCACTACTAGGCCGTTACACTATAATTACTTATTAAGTGCACAAAGTTAGGACTGCTGTCGGATTAGCCAACAAGTAAAATATTTAGAGAATTAATGAATTGGAGAGGGGGTATTAAAAAGTTTGAAAAATTTAACAAGGCTTGCAAGTTCTTTAAGTGTAAATAATAATACTATGTTAAAAATATTTAGAGAAAAACAGGAACATTTGATACTCTTATAATATTTTATAGAGTTGCCTTTCATATGGTAAAATCTAGAATATTATAAATAATTCATATAACAATTATCAGTATTTATTGTCCAGGCCTATCCTTCCTCTATATATTTACATCTGGCAAATAGAGGCATTCCCAATGCTGAACAATGTTTTTTTGACCAATTACTAGTCGTTGATTATTACGTTTCATAAGTTTCTATTATTAGCTTAGATTTCTAATTTGGACTTTTTACAACAATTTTCCCCCAATTCCAATGGTGTTGGAGGCATTCATAAAAAAAGGCCTTACTAATATAAAATAATCATTTAATGCCTATAATTTTTCTCCCTTAAATACCCACAGATCATGAAGCGCTAATATGATTTAACAGATAGAAAAATCGGTATTATGTAACTGACAAATACGGAACCATATATGGAAGTGCCAGACTATTTTTCTTTGTTGGTTCCCATATCAGCTGTGCATTAGGCAGTATTTTGAAATTATGGGAATCGATGCTACTTAAAGTAAAAAAAATTGTATTCATCCATCATTCATGAAAAAGTACCAAATTAACATGTTTCCATTTAGAAATTAGAAGAAGAAAATGGTTATCTAGTAAGTCCTACATGCACATATAAAATACTGTTTCTACTTTTTCAGAGCTCAGATGGCCACCAAGTGTCCACATCTCCTTTACCAAATGGTGTAGTTACTAATGCTACTGGTAAGTTGTTTACAAATCTTATTGTACATGTCTGACCTAGTGTCATCTTAGATACATCTCAATTTACAAAAAAAAAACAACAATTAAACAAACCAATAATAAAAGACAACAGGCAAATAAATGCTGTCAAACTAAGATTGTAAGTAAGTTTGACGCAAATTTATAATTTTTGCTTGACTGCTACTTGTTTGCAGCAAGTTTAGATAATTCAGAAGTTCCATGTTTAGTGACAATAACTTTCCTTGATGTGTAAATAGGAAATTGTCATTTTGCACTTTTATTTCATCTATTTATAAACAAGCATATGTTTACAAGACCGCGTCCGAGATACCGACCTTGCAGCGGGAGCAGAAAAGGACATAAACATTGAAGTTTAACTATTATTTGTTTTACCACCATAGAGTCATGCCAAGTGTTCTATATATTTCTTATATATCACTTGGCATATACAAGTCATTGTTGCTGTTTACATTTATAGGAATAAGATTAAGAAATTGTTTATAAAGGGTTAAGAGTTGTAAATGGCTATAATAATAACTTGTTTGTTCATTTCATACACTTTGACCTTCAATATTTTCAGACAAAGATATATTGATGTCCCAACAACGCCACACTGTGTTCCAGCCTAAAGGTATATCCCAGTCTGCATTACCTCAACAGACGCGGGGAACCGTCCAACAGGCATCTCATATATTCACTGGAGCCCAGCTCCACAATCAAAACTTCACGTTCCAGACACCAAGTTCGTCAACTCTGACCAGCCAGATAAGTGCTAACGCTAGTCAGGTGCTGCCAAATCAGCTGACACAGTTACAGGTTAAAAATAGCAGTCTTCAAAAGGCAGGCACCATAAATAAACTAAATATGCAGCCAGTGTCGATTACAATTCCATTCGTTACCCAAAATAACCTCGGTGGAGTGGAGATGGGGGTTGGAGGACAACAACACGGACATACATTATTCATTACTAGTGAAGATGCACAAAAGCAGGGAATTCACTTACAGCAGCCGGACCAACCTACTCAAAACTCACCCAGTTCGCTCATTTCATAGCACAGGATGTGCACAAGTTATGATGATGTCATCAGAATATGATGTCATATTCTGATGATATCACCCTGTCTTGTGCTAGTATCAGTGTATAACAGTGTATTGTTGATATTCAAAAAGCTTGCGGTGATTTTTATGACTGAGACGGGCTGCCATATCAAAGGTCAAACATTTCAAAAACTTACTTACATCATATTCTGTCAGACTAGCCATTTAGAAGTTTGTTTAAGATGGTCAGGGCCATGTTAAGAATTTTGTTTTTACAGTTTTTTTGTTAATTTATATTTTTTCCATCTAAACTCTTGTCAAAAAAAATGTTATGTACATATAAAATTGATGGGAATTATATATAAGGATACTTTAGTCATAATTAACCTCTCCTAATTTTGGTGTTCACAATTTGCATAATAAATATATGTTGGTTTAAAGGATGTACGAGTGAATTCCTTTTCTGTTTCTTTGAATTTTTTTTCTATTTTGTTTTTAAAGCTGCACAGCTCCAGATTCGTGCTAAAATTTAACAAAATTTCGAAAGTGTTTTAAGGCCTTTTTTGCTTGAGATATAATATCATGTTTATTTCTCAAAAACTTTTAGTTTTGGTATCTTGTTACAGTTTCCAAAACATTACTCATTTGCCATAAAGATGAACTAACATTTGCTGCTTCAATTGCTATATTAGCAATTGGTATAATTATAGTGAATTAGTATTTTTGTATGGAAGTCAAAATACTACTTTATTTACATCTTGCTGCCTTTATGACATATTGCTGCACATTCAACACTACTTTCTTCATTTTGTTAAACATCTAACATGTTCTAAATCCAGTATAAAAACATTTTAAACACATGTTTGGCATTTCTAAAGAATTTAAAATTACGGATTTTTGAGGCATAGTTTGCCTTTAAAATGCTAAAGCAGAGTTAAGTAATTTTAAACCAGTATAAAATAGTGACAAAGTACATGTAGATGGAAAAAAGCATAAAGAATTTATTGTTATACTACAAATAATCTAAACTGTGTAAAAATAAACATTTTTAAAAGCCCCCATACCCCATTAGTTATGAAAATATGAAACTTTGTCGTATATATTTTATATAGCATGTAAGGCATCAAATAGATTGTCAGTTTTATGACTGTATCTGTGCACTTCACCACCTTTCCATTATAGATTTTTTGAAATTTTGTTTGCTCATCTGGGGGTCATTCAACTTTTAAGTTCATTCAAAAATTGTAAATTATGGAACGTCGGTGGTTCTACTCAGGTGCCCGTTCGTGCCTGAAATAATGCACGGAAGGGCACCTGAGGTCTTCCTCCACCAGTAAAGCTGCAACGTTGCCAAATGACCTATACTGTGTCGGTGTGACGTAAACCCCAAACAAACAAACAAACAAAAATTGTAAAGGTCATAAGGCAGCTCGCTTACTTTACTGGTGAAGGAAGACATCTAGTCCCCTCTGAGCATTTATTTGTGGCACGAGTGGGGTACCTGGGTCAAACCATCAACTTTATGCAAGCTAGCTTGATAGCTTCCTAGCCTTTCTATTTAAGTTGATTATTTTAATGTGCTAGGAAACATGTGCCCCATACTCATGAATAAAAGTAAGTTGGTATATTGTCACATTAGTGCAGTAATGGGTTAATTATTTATGTAATTTAATAGAAGGTAAATCTTAACTGCACTTAGGTGACAATATATTGATTATGATTAGCATAATAAATCCTTTAATGGCATACTTTCTCTAAATATTTGTAATTAAGAACATGTTGAATGGTTCAAGTAATATTTCCAAATCCACATTTAATTAACAATAAAAGGAACATATCAGATTCATAGTGAAGGTGTTTATTGAAAAAATGTTTATGTATTAAGATTATAAAATGGATTTTATTTACTTATGTTTGACCTTTGACCTGGCAGCCATCTTTGTTGTAGTTTTGACTTGTGATTGGTGGTCATTGTTTTATATGCACATAATATCGTTAAGAGCTTGGTCATGCCTACCATACATGTATATTCTATTCTGTAAATGTAATGTTAAAAGGTCCCCCCACCCCCACTTCCCCTCCCCCTCCTACTATTTATTAAATTATCTGTTATGAATAGTAACTATTTAATATAAAGATCTGTGCAGTGTAAATTGGTAACTTATTATTACTACATTTAATTGACAATTTTCCGATGTATACATGTATCTGTCTCCATAAGGAAAAATGAGCTGTGTCATGACAAAACCATCATAGTGCGTTTGCGACCAGCATGGATCCAGACCAGCCTGCGCATTCGCGCAGTCTGATCAGGATCCATGCTGTTCGCTTACCAACTCTATTACAAGTAGAGAAACTGATAGCGAACAGCATGGATCCTAATCAGGCTGCGCTGATGTGCAGGCTGGTCTGGATCCATGCTGGTCGCAAACCCATTATGTTGGTTTTGTCATGACGCGGCTCAAATGTATTTTAAATATATTTATCTTTAATATTGATAGGCCAAGTTAAAATATTTTAAGTGCATTACTCCAGTGACTCTGTTTAGTAATAAGTTTATTAAAAGTTTATGATATTTTTTGTATACAATTCTTGTTATAATACTGTTTATTTATAAGATGGAATTTTAAGAGTCACAATCATTAAAGGGACTCCACTGAGGTTTTATGACATGATGGGACTGAAAATATTTTTTCCAGATAAATGTACCATTTTATGTAGCTTTAGACCACTAATCTTTGTTCAAAATTTCAGATCATTCGCTCACTTTGTTTTTTCCAGAATAATTATTCAAATTGTAAAAAAATGACCCAAAATGAAAAGCGTTTAAACGCTTTTCACTCAAATTGGGCTATGAAAAGCATAAAAATATGATTTTTAATTTATTTCAAAGTATATTTCCTAACTATCTTTGCATATATTTATGTTTAAAGTGCCCCAGCTCATTTATGTAAGAAATTCAAATGTTATGTTTTTAGGCTTTTAAACCTCAGTAGAGTCCCTTTAAAGGTTTTTGTGTCACCTGCTACAGATTAGCGACAACATATAGGGATCACTATATAGTTTATGAAAGAAAAAAATACATTCTGTATTGACCCCAATTTGACATTGGAATAAAGCACTGTACTTCTTAGTTAATTCTCAATTGGATATTATTTGCTCTTTTGAGAGACCAGAATTCAAGATTAATGTATGTAGCAATATATGTACATTCTTCAGACTTTTTAAATATACCCATTTTCATGCACAAATTTACTTTACTTTTAAAGCTTACTTTTAAAGCTGCATGCCTCCAGATGAGAAAAACCAAGTTTCTAAAAGAAAAAAGAAAAAATACCTTATAAAAGTATGTAGATATTTCAGAATTGTAAAATTTTTTAGAGTTCATGTGATTTTTTGCATGCTTAATACAACATATTGCTGAACTTACTTTTCTAGAAATCATTTTTTTTTTATTCATTACCAGTTTCTACCCAGTAACTAACTTGTTATATTGTAAAGTTTATTTTGGCAAATTTTAACAAGTTATGTATAATTCCTGTAAACCATGGATTCACCAGGCTATTTTGAATTAATTTTATTGTATATTTGACAATGTTGTTATTATTTAGTAGTCTTTCTTAGTTTTCATAAAAGGAAATGTAACTCTGGAGGCATGCTTCCTTAAAGATACCAGTATTATAATACATCATTAATGAAGAAAAAGAAAAAAATTTCTACAAAGTTGTTTTAAATAAAATAAAATAACTACCTCACATGTTTTTCTGAATACACTGACCGAAAAATACTTGTCTGACTGGCAGAATACATTATTGAAAAACAAAATCTGAAACAAAACATTGACAATCAATTCTTCTTTCAATAATGTTCACATTTTGATTTATATTGATTTATATTGATAAAGAAAGAAGTGAAGTGTACATGAATGACTTTCAGTTTATCTTTTCTTTTCTTTTTTTGGCTCCAGATATTCATATGTTGGATATATACCTAATTTCCGCTTGCTCATTATTGAAATACTGTGTTTTTATCAGTGGGATATGATTTATATTTCTCATTGCAATAAAGTTTCCTGATATTATGAAACAGAAATTTATTACTACAAGGTTAATTTTTTCTGTCACATCGTTAGGTAGGTACAGTAATAAGTTAACCACTTTTAATTTATCATTGGGCTTAACTTGTTAATGCATGAAATTAAAATCAAATAAAAGTATTGTGTTATATTTTTCATAGATACTGAATATATCTACTGCTTTTAAGTGTGACATTCTTCTTTATTTACATTTGTGCAATGTGCCTGTGGTAATATTTGAAATTTTCCCTACACAGTGAGCGATATATACACTACACAGTGAGATATAAACTTGTGTACTCACAGCAAATAAATATACCATTAATACTGTGAAACAGATGACTTAATATTCTAATTAAACATTAATATTCTTTTTTTTTCAAACCATGTATTTTCATTTGAAATAGAAATGTAGTTTTAAAGAATTTTACAGTATCATTCTAGAAAATAGTAAGGAGGTTTTTTAATGTTTCCACCTTTCTGTCAACACGTTTATTATCCCCCGCCGATGGAATCGGGAGGGGGATATAGTTTTGGCGTTGTCAGTCCTTCCGTCCGTCCATCCGTCCGTCCGAATTTCGTTTCCGGAGTAGTTCTCTGCAACTACTGGCTGGAATTCAATGAAACTTTATGGGAATCATCAATATCAAGAGGAAATGCGCATATCATCGACTTGTTCCGGTCCGACACTTTAACTCAGAGTTATGGCCCTTGATTAGTTATGCAGTATTCATATAGAGTAAAAATCGTTTCCGCGCTACTTCTCTGCAACTACTGGCTGGAATTCAACAAAACTTTATCGGAACCTTCAATATCAAGAGGGGATGCGCATATCGTCGGCTTGTTCCGGTCCGACACTTTAACTCAAAGTTATGGCCCTTGATTAGTTATGCAGTATGCATGTAGAGTAAAAATCTTTTCCCGCGCTACTTCTCTGCAACTACTGGCTGGAATTCAATGAAACTTTATTGGAACCTTCAATATCAAGAGCGGATGCGCATATCGTCGGCTTGTTCCGGTCCGATACTTTAACTCAGAGTTATGGCACTTGATTAGTTATGCAGTATGCATATAGAGTAAAAATCGTTTCCGCGCTACTTCTCTGCAACTACTGGCTTGAATTCAACGAAACTTTATGGGAACCTTCAATAACAAGAGGAGATGCGCGAAATCGTCGCTTTGTTTGGGTCAGACATTTCAACTCAGAGTTATGGCCCTTGATTAGTTATGCAGTATGCATATAGAAAAATATTTGTTTCTGCGCTACTTCTCTGCAACTACTGGCTGGAATTTAATGAAGCTTTATTGGAACCTTCAGTACAAAGAGGAGATGGGCATATCGTAGCCTTGTTTGGATCAGACATTTTAACTTTGAGTTATGGCCCTTGATAACTTATGCAGTATACAACCAGAGCAATAATCGTTTCCGTGCTACTTCTCTGTAACTACTGGCTGGAATTCAATGAAACTTTATGGGATACGAAGAGGAGATGTGCATATAGTCGCCTTGTTTCGGTCAGACACTTATAACTAAGATTTATGGCCCTTGATTAGTTATGCAGTATGCATACATCTCATTGGCATTTCCAGATATTTCTATTTAACACAGAGTTATGGCTCGGTTATTGCCCTGAATATTTATCAAGTTCAAAGAATATTACTGTTTATGCCATGATAAATATATAAATAAAGCCTTATGTCTTCAGTTGTTGTGTTAGTAATAACCAGTACTCGGCGGGGGATATAAATTCAACGAATTTGCTTGTTTCTGTTGTTTTGCTTAACTGGAAAGACGTTATAGATAGCATACATATTATTATGTATGCAAATAAAAAATATCAAAACACTTATCAATTGTGATTTTTGTAACATTCTACAGATTTGTGCTAAGAGTTATGTACCCTTTATTGGTATAATTACCTGTACATGCATATTATCAGGCCCCTCACTAAATTTTGTTGTATTTTTCTATCTTGAAAATTATTTTTTACCTTGGTTTATTATTGGTTATTATTAAAGAATGGTATTGAACAGGTTTAAAAGATGGGTACACTACTTGTATACAAAGTGACATTACGCTCATTTTTTTCGCTGAAAAGTCAAGTTTAATTAGTTATATTTTTCAGAAGATTGGTAATGGCCATTGACCAATACTTTATGATGAAAAATCTTAATGATCAATATAAAAGCTATGTAAATTATAAAACAACTGCCCCACTCTGTATAAGAATTAAGCATTACTAATACAGTTTAAAAATAATTTCCATTGGCCACATGGATTATTGATTATATTTTTCATAGTGAAATATAAAATTGAGCATATTCATGGCAAAATGTTTAAGTTATTTTTATATTTACCTTTTCACTGTCCCTTTACACCTGGATTGGAATAATTTCACTTTAAAAGATGTTGTTATAAATATGTATACATATATATAATGTGTTAATGCAGGTGATTTGGGTTGATATTACATAAGAACATTGTGATACTATTTCAACTGATATTATAAACTCAATTAACAATGGAAATCCAACATAACATTAACAATTTGATTCACAAAATGATAATTAAAAAATGAATGATATCTTTTTTTTTTGCAATTAAGTTGATAAGAAATAAGAATATATAACATGTAAATTAAGTTACTTCTGACCAGAATACTTCAAGTTTACTGAGATTTTAAAATCATAGTCTTCCTTTATCCAGTGAAATGTAAATTGAGTATAAGGGATAGAAGCTAGGTCTTATATTTAAGGGGTGAAATAAGGTTTATTTGTGATGTTAGGGATAAAAAATTAAGTTTAGGATAAAAATTTAGGTCTATAGGTTTTAAGATAAAACAAAAGGGTTATATATGATTTACGTGATAAAGTTTTGGGTATATATGATGAAGAAAAAAAAAAGTTTTTTATTCAGGATTTCAATGGATAAAAAATAAGGTTTTTACTGAATTTTAGGTATTAAAATAGAATTAAATAGAATTTAAGTGATAAGAAATAAGATTATTTAGGATTAATCTAATAAAAATAAGGTTTTTTCTTTTCAGGATTTATCTGATAAAAATTAGGGTCATGATAAAAATTAGGGTTTGAAGATAAAAGTTGGGGTTATACAATGTTGGATCAATTAACTGCTGTGAAATTATTGAAATACAATTGGGAGATAAAACTTTACTGCTTCAAGCCATAGATATACATATCATTGCAATATATATTTATCATTTAAAGTCTTAGAATACATATTTTACTGAGTCACATGTGGAGAATTTGGTTATAACTGGTTAGTTATCCAGAAAAGCTGGTAGGGTGGGCCGGAAGCAGAAATTTGACCAAAAATGTGTTCAAATGAACTTATTTCACAGATTTGAGCTGTCTTTAAAGAAATCTGTTTTTGGTTGATTGCTTTCTATTGCCCAGTATTCTTCTATATTTCCTATTTATATAATATCTGTCGAAAATTATCATGAAATGGCCAATGTAACTTTCATACTCACTTATACCATACCTTGCTTTTTTCTACTTTTTGAAAAACAAACTTCTTGGAATTTATTTGTGTGTGTCATTATTATTTTAAATAAAGCATGATAATAGTTTTGGGTTTCAGGGAGGTTCAATTTTGTATATCTTTTACACAGTCTGCGTGCAGTAGTGAAACAATTTACACTGAAGGGTGTTCAGAATCAAAGGAAAAGATAACCAAATTTTGGAGTTTTTTTGCATAAAATTTATATAAAAGTAATATGTTATCATTGTGTTATTTGTACAAAGGAGAAGAAATACACAGAAAAAAGCACACACCCACAATACTGTCTGTGTCTAAAATATATATTTTGTGCCGAGAAAAATAACGGAAAATTACTTGTTTAAAAGATGATACTTTTTGCTTGCTATATTGGTTTTATAAATGGCAAATAAGAAAAGAATTATTGAAATGCCTTAATAAGGAAGAAGAAAATTTTGTGTCATTAATGACTGTGGATGCTGACTATAAAGAAGTATATCAAATTTAGAATATAAAAATATGCTCAACTTTTTTTCTTCTATGGTTTTAGGGAAGAAGTATGTTTAAAACTCCTAAACTATTTCTGTTATAATTTATAACACTGTACTGGCAAGATTTTAAATTTAAGATGCCATATTTGTTGAGACACATACTCGGATTTCTAATGATTTGTGGCACATTAAACACTAGTCCAACACAAAAGTTTTTATAGCCTCTATATCAAGATTAATAGTTATATAAAAATGGATTTTGTATAATATTTTATTACATATAAATATATATATATACAAATACAAATGTATGTATACATTTCAATACAATATTCAAAAGGAAGGGCCAAAATTAATTGGAACACCATTGGGGCCCTTCCCTAATATAAAAAGGATTTATCCCTCTTAGGGTGCTGTATTCACTGTACAGAATGATTTACAACTAAATTTTTCATATGTATTGTTGCAAATAAATTGAAGAAAAAAAATACAAATTCGGTGTGTGTTGCCCATTATTGGAAATACATTGCAACATTGTAAGTGTGTGTTAAGTTTATATTTTTTTTCTTGTATATCTAAGACATTTCACTTGAAATCTGGTGACATCATTGACCTGAGCAAAATGTGATATTTTTATGTGTGTTTGTATTTTTTTATAGTATTTCTAGTTTATAACTATATTTATGGATTTTCTTATCAGACATTTCACATTGACTTATTTAAGTTTATGTAAATATTATGGTATATTTGGAAAATTAATGTAAGCTGTTAGTTATTTAAATTAGAGAGGGTAACAGAGAGGGAGAAATAGCAGGGGCTGCGACTCAAACTCCTGGTAAAGATCTTGCTATTAGAAGCCTCTGCACAATTAACTGGTGCCTGATCAAAATCGCTGGATTTACCTGGAAATGTGTGTAACAGAAGGTCAGTCTTGGCTAATTTCACCCACTATAAGGGCAGTGTTTGGGCCAGGGTTACAATTGGCTGATACATGAAATTGTTAACATGCTTAACAAAATTAAACTTGTTCTTAAGACCACCTTAAGTATAGTGAAAAATAACTTGTCAGTAAAGTTCACTATAATATTTTCAACTGTAAACAACTAGAATGGGAAATATGTTGATTTCGGAGACCACCTTCTTATGATCTTCCTCACTTTTCTCAAGACTCTTCTCTGTAAACAGAATTGACTGTATCTGAAAATTATTCATTGAAGCATATTCATGTAGTTAACAGTTTGACCTTTTTCTGCCTTGCTCTCACACTTAGAATGCCTTTAAGACACTTCATTTGTTGATTACCTTACATAGTCACCTACATTTTGGTAGGTTTGTGTGAGTGTGGTTTGTCCAAGGTCAAGGTTACAAATGCTAAAAATAGATTATTTCTCATAGTGAGAGCACATTTTAGTTTTGCCAAAGATATATGTTGGAACATCCATTGCTGTTACAGATATTATTGTCTTAACATGTTAATATCTATACTTTGATGTAGAACTCTACAGATTGCTTAGTACATATTTGGTTTATGAAATGTGGTAACAAGTTCTTCATATTTGCACTACGTTTTTGCAAATTTACTATTTTAAGGCAACAAATTGATTGAATACTTCTCAACTTTTGCATATTGTTAAGAAATCTTGGATATTTTTTGTGAAAACCAAACTTGAAATGATATACCAAACCATAAACCATGGAAATGATCATGTCCTGGTGAATGAGATGAAGTTGAAATGAAATAATAATACTGAATTTGTAAGTGGAATGTTTTTTTGTTTTTAAACAAGACAAGTGAAACCTCTTAGTTAGGCGCTGAATTTGGCAACCAAAAACGTATTTTTATTCTCTGTTATTTTCAAATGTGGTTATTTCTTAATCTTAAGTAAAATGCTATTTACAAAAATTATAGTTTTATTACGATATTAATGCAGTCTTTTTTTAACACTGTTGTATTTTGTAAATTAAATTATTGGCACAAAAGAGCTATCATATTAGGCTATATTGACATTTTAACAGGTTTATTATTTATAACTAAAAGTCTTTTTGAAGAATCAAATTTGATTACAACTAACATGCTTAACTTTTCCATCCTGTCCTCATACCACTTTCATTTATTGGCAGATATCCAAGTTGCTTTATGTGTTGGTTAGTACCTTGGTAAATTCCTTCCATGGACCTCTCATTTTAAGTAGATAGTCAGGTTAATTGGGTCAAGATTAGAGGTCAAGGTCACTGAGGTTAAAAAATGAAATTTGGTCAAGGTCACTGAGGTTAAAAATAAAATTGGGTCAAGGTCACTGAGGTTAGAAATAAAATTGGGTCAAGGTCACTGAGGTTAAAAATAAAAAAAAATCCCAGCTTATTTCTAATAGTCTGGCCATGCGTTTACCATTGCCAAATAAGCATAAGCATCCATTCACCCATTGGTGTTTCTGAAATTCTTGTTTCATATGAAGTGTGAATGTTTTTTTAAACTGTTACACCTTATTTATTAATTATTGGAAATAAGAATGAGTAAAATTATCATTAGTGGAACCCCTTTTATGTTAAGGCATGTGGATTTATTTAAAAGGATGTAATTTGAAAATACAGTTAGAATTTGTTGAGTCTGTGATATTTAGAAGTAAAGTAACAGATAACTAGTAAATCTTTTTTCCCCAACTTTATGTAATTTTACAATGGGTAAAAGAATGATTTGTGTAGTTGGATCCATTCCAGTTGAGTAGAAGATAATACATGTATACTCTGTTAAGGTAGTAAATTTGAGGCACAAAAGGTAGAGTATTAAATCGTGAGAACATGGATTTTTATATTTTTTTTCATAGTATACGTTGACTGCATTGGCTTTTATTGAAATGTTTATATAAAATCTCTCCAAATTGCATCTTTTAAAAGGTATTATTAATGCCCTTTAATCTGGCCGAAAAGATTTCATTGTCATTAAAACATAGCAAGGGTTTAAAGAATAGTTGTATGTAACTTAGAAGTGTCATTGATTAATCCACCTTAAACAAACCGTCAACTTCCAATGGTACCTATAAATCAATCCCAAACCATGTATTTTTTGGCCTAATTAAGGTTCATTGAATATTTTGTTAAGCATGTATTGGTCATGACAAATTTTGTGAATTTTTGTAAGATTTTTATTTTTCGCACCATTTCCATGTAATGTTAATATACTGGTCATTAAATGGCTCATGCACCTCCCCTGCACGTTGTTATGCATTTATTAAACATGTATCATAGTTTGAATTGTTGAATGTCTTTGACCTTTTGTTTTGTAGAAAGATACTCTTGTTAAATTAAATTTATACTAAAGTATGAAAAATGTAAAAATAAAGAAAACATTTTCCTAAATGAAACAATCTCTTGTTGTCTTTATCAGTTGATTAAAATTTACTGAAACAGTGAGTGTGCTTGACCAAATAAGAAGGCCTCTGAGTCTATGAAACAGACTGAGAGGCAAATTATTCTGAACAAATGTCTGTTGCCCCTGTGCTTAACTCCCCTCAAGTAGACAGATGTTTGTTCTATTATGCTTGAAAGATGCATGTCAGGCGTCGCCAGTCGTTATCTGCAAATCCTTATAACTACAGCTCATCCTTCTTATCATATGATCAGTTTGAGGCAACTTCATAGGAATAATATTGAAATTGACCACAAGTTTTATCTTATGCATTAGTTTCTCAAAGGAGCTAAAAATAAAAAAAAACTTGAAAGTGGTTTTTCTTAGGTATATCTCAAATCGAATATTTAACAAAGAATAAATATATTCGACCATATGCGTGAAATACACTCGGAGGCATTTATAACCCGACCTTATTTGGTATGAATTGGTCATTTCTTGAAGGATTATTTTGATCAAATTTGGACCAATGCAAAATTCAACATATCATTCTTCCTTCTTAGAATTTTATTAACAATTCACTCAAAAGAAAAAAATAACAAAACAAATATGCTACTTTTAAATGAAAAATCACAGACTGGCAGTAAAAATCGTAACAAAATTAACAGTCTCTGAATCGCACTAAATCTCTACTTTGTGTGTCATAGTTTCTCATGAAGGCTTGGTGAATATTTCTCATTTCTTGACTAAGGACTTGCTTAAGTTCAATTGTAAAAATGAATTAAACAGACGTGTGAGAAAGCGACCAGTAGTTCCTCTCAAAGCAAGCCTTTGTTCAGGAATTGAGAAATATTCCCTAAATTAGAGAGAAATAAAAAAAATCCCTAAAGAACGCACAAAACGACGAAATCGACAATGCTGCAGGCTCACTTTGATTGAGCATGTTAATGAACGATAATGGAAAGTGCAAGTTACCGTCCACGCCCCCTAGCACCGGCTTAAGCAATATTCAACATTTATTATGAAATGGTAAAATTAAAAATTTGAAAACATCCGCAGATGTGTTCATATACCTTCATGAGAAACTATATCATTTTCATGAGACAGAGGTGTATACACATTGTTATAGCCATGGGATGACATACAATGTATTGGAACAGGTTACCATACAGATTTAGTGCCACTCAGAGACTGTTCATCTTGTATCGATTTTTACAGCCATTTTGTGATTTTTCATTTAACAGTAGCCTTGTTGTTTTGATATTTTTTTTCTATTTTTTGGCATTTAATAGTAAATAGAATTTTATGAAGTAAGTAAGACATATTGAATTTGGTATGGTCCAAATTTGAACAAAATCCGTAAGCAAATGACCAATCGATACCGAAAAAATGTCAGTGTCGGGTTATATGTGCCTCTGAGTGTATATTCGACTGAAAATAACACAAAAATGTATAGGTAGTCGGTACATAATGTGATATGATTGACTCCTACACAAATTAAAACTAATATTTAACGTGCAATAAAATCAAAGAAATCATGCATTTCATTAAAAACGTAATATTTTAATGGTAATGAAAACTTGATCACCTTTGCCCCTTTTGAGGTTTAAGGATACCAATTCTTGAAAAGGGAAATTCCTCAAGAGTTATTGAAACAACATATTACGGCAACGGCAAGTTAGCACTGACATATTAATTAACCTATCTCTGAACTAAACTTTTTACCGGGTCGAACATCGAATTCATAAAAGTTGAGTATGCATTTGAGCTTTACTGTAAGCCAGCTCGAAATATTGATGTGTTTGGAGTAAGAAATGGCAAATACAAAAGCACCAGTGGTCGCACCATTTGAACAAATAATAAATAATAACACTCGTTGATACGTTGTTATGTCTTTTATTAATCATTTCGAGTACGTACATTCATTTGTCGTAAGTTTACATTCGATTAAAGCATCATTATGATATCCCTTGTTAGTACCTTGTAATTGAATCACATTACAACATAATATATAATCAGTTCAATGAAAACAAACGCTTCCGGTGCTGCAGTAGTCTCTTTATCGGTGTGCTTTATCCAAAGAATATCAAACGTTGGTTGCATTTTTTTTTTATTACAACGTAATGAAACATAAATTATGAAATTTATCGTATTAAGTTCAGTATATGTTTTAGAGCATATCTGTTGTCAAGACTGTCATGTTTGGAAAGCCAAAACGATCAAATGCCTGGTCTCTGTTTAAACTTCATTTATATATGTAGCAATATCAGTGCATTTATTTCCAAGATGTCACAAAATATACATTTCAAAGTAACAATCGAATATATTTTCGTCCGTAACAAAAAAAAAACGGAAAGTGTTCCTGGTATCACGGTGATAGGGCGTTTAACGCAACGTCACACTAACGTACTTCTGACTGAGACACCGTATGTTTCTGTCAGACAAAATGAATGTCAAGCCTGCATACGACAAGAAAACAAAAGATAATTTGCCCAAAACAAGGTATTTATAGTAAATGAATTATGTTGAAGTGTATGCTTTCCTACTGTATTCGATAGAACGTTTCGGCTGTCAATGTTGTATTTAATTTAAATCTTTACCTATTTACGACACTTTTTTTCCAAAGATTCTTTGTATTTAATTTCAAAATAAATGAACATAACTCGTTCGTTGTGTGTTTTTTATCTTGTTTCTTCCTTTTTTATTCAATTTTGATACTTTTTTTAAACTCCGAAATCTTAGTCGCCACGTTCTTAAATTACTGGGGTCATTTGTAATTTAGATTAATTTATTTTTATTTGTTGTATTTCAATGTTTGCTCATTTTAAAATTAGAATATTTCTCCTCGATAAATATCTTTGAATGATTACCCAGTGAAATATCCTTTAACTGAAGGTAATTCTTTATCAAGTTTTATCAGCAATTCCTTTGCTTTTTCAACTGCGTCAGTACTAGAATTTGCTAAAACTACATTATCTAAGCCAGCAGTCCATGTGGTGTGATAGTTAGATATTTTACGCTGTTTGTTATCAATATATACATGGGGGATATTGAGAAGTGTTGATAGAATATGACCGTGAAGACGATCAGTGATAACTACTCGACCTCTCTGTAAAAACATCATTCCATTGGTTGTCTTAAGAAACGAGTCTTCCATTGGCGAGTCCCCACGATGGGTTTTCCATATTAACCAATCAGAAACGTGCATACGATAACCTTCCGGAGCTGCCGGTGTATTGTAGTGTGGAGACTCTTTATCGGTGCGCTTTAACCAAAGTATATCGAACGTTGGATGCATGAAGCGAGGAACGAAACCAATCTGGTAGGCAATATCTGGTGATAATAAGGAACGTACGTTAGGGAAGAGCTTCTTGCCAAGCTCGAAGATACCTTATCTCGCCATAGAAACGTAAGCTTCGGATGAGATGCATATATTTTCTGGCAGAACTTAATGTGTGAATCTGGTCCCATTGTCAAAATACTTTGTGGAAACATGACAATGTTGAACGGCATGAATCGTTTTATTTGTTTACTACGAGAAAAATCTGACGAAGGCCAACCAATGACATTTCCGCCACCATGAAAAAGAATGACAAGATCTTTACTTGTATAATTTTTACTGATGTTATGAGCTCTGTATAGTTGATTGTCTGTGCAAAATACTTTACATGCAAACACAATTTCGATTTTGAGTTTCCTCAAAAGCAATGTTTCTCCAACAGTTATCGCCGAGTCACCTTTGTTTTCCGAGGTAGAATAATCGAATAGCATTGCATATTTATACCCGCCCAACAGGGACTTGAAAATATTCAAGTGAAGTCTCTGAGCTTCGTCAATTACATCTGACCGTTTTGTAAGTAATGGAGAAAGTTTATTAGTTTCTTCTGGATTGTGTACTAGATCTAATGTTAGGGAGTCTTTGATGTTGAATGTCGCTTGCTTTGGCAGAGATAAATTATTCCACAACGATTTATAGCTATCATTGTTTTCATCAGTATATTTCATTTTATGTTTTGGTAGCCCTAACATCATCTTCGGTATCTCGAAGACTTGATATACTGCCAGAATAGCCAAAGTGAAAGTAACCGAAGTAAAGAAATGTCTCCTGTATCCCATCACAGCTGAAATATAAAAACAAAGTTCAGTTTGATTCTAGATGATACTTTTTATATACAGGTACTTTCGTTTTTCTGAGACTTTCTCGAATAAATTGATACAACAATTGAACAACAACAACAACCAAAATTGATGTAAGAATATTTTACTTAGACTATATAAAATGAACTAGCCATTTTCTACATTTGATAATGAAAACCATTTTCTACATTTGATAATGAAAATATTACATATAATGTGTAACATCTCAAATAATGAAGTATATGTCATGGTTCACAACAAAATAGTTTACGCCTTAATATATTAATATATATATTTATATATACATGTATATAAATGACTAAAGATAGAAGGAATAACAAACCCATTAAGAACTATAAGCAGTATCATAATGGTGTTACAGATTCTTCAACTCACTTTTCAATATCTTACTTGACCCTTCGTTGATTTGGTTACTATTTAACTCTCGTAGTTTAGAAAACGCATAAATTGCAAGACCTTTTAAACAAATGAAAAGTCCAATGAAATTTACGATTGACGATGATTTTGAGCCTGTAACGTATAATAAACCAAGAACAGCAAGTCTTTTCAAAATGTTTCCAAATGCATGACCAACAACGGAGAAATGGTGAAGTACAACTACCGTAGATATGTAGCTATAAATAGCATGAAATAAAGAAGATCCTATGAGAAGAAAGTATAATTTTGCGATTCCTGGGGGTGCTGTCCCGATATTTACAAGTACCAATGCTCCTACGGCGAAAACAACAAATAGTCCTAATCCAATATGGGTTTTGTTGATTATGAACTTAGAATGTGAGATGTGATTCTTTTTCATGTACACGTTTCTCAGGGATAAACATATATTAGAAATTAACGCTAGAACAGTGCCTTTTGAAACAT